TGTGTGTGTGTGTGTGTGAGAGAGAGAGAGAGAGAGAGAGAGAGAGAGAGAGAGAGAGAGAGAGAGAGAGAGAGAGAGACGAATAATGTTCTCAATAATTTCTTATAAAGCAGTGCTTTTGAGTGATCTCGTTATGAGCAGAGGTCGTAATCTTGGATCTAGACTAACTGGATGGTTCTGGGGCACAGCGGACAGTCAATCCTTCCTTGAGGAAGCAATCAATGCTGTCCTTTGAACCTTCCATTGCCTTTGATAGAGTAGAAGAATCACAAGACATACTTCGCATATAGCTCTCTGCTACATAGAATGGTTTTTGATAGGGGAAGGCTAAGTAGTTGGACTCAGCAATGGCTAGTGGTTTTTGATAGGGGAAGGCTAAGTAGTTGGACTCAGCAATGGGTAGAGTTTCCCATTTTGTTATGGCTACCCGTGTGGGTTGAAGAGGTCACCACCCATCATTTTGTGCTTGATCCCAGGGTGTTGTAGAGGCCAAGGACCAGACCCGCGGAGATTGCTGGTAGCGTTTGTATTCTGAACATGCTTGTTGTAAGGGATGCTGGACCCGTTGTCCAGCAGGAGTAGCTCTCCACGAATAGAATGGAACCACGGGTTTCTACCAGCAGGGGCTCTTACCAGCCTGATGGCAGAGGTCCTGTTTAAATCACCACTACATTTCAGGCTGGAGAGCAAAGTCGTAAATATGCCGGAGGACGCCAGGCACCACTGGACCAAAAAGGCTGGCGGTGCCAGCCACAACAAATGAAAAAGGCCCACAACAAACGAAAAAGGCCGCGGGCACCACTGGACCAAANAAACGAAAAAGGCCGCGGGCACCACTGGACCAAAAAGGCTGGCGGTGCCAGCCACAACAAATGAAAAAGGCCCACAACAAACGAAAAAGGCCGCGACGGCCCTTCGGACGAAGCTTGGCACTCAGTTCTGCAGAGGCTCGGCAAAATGAGGCTCGGAGGTAGTGGTGGGTCAAAAAACATAAAAATCCAAACACGTCACAAAAACTGAGCCCAAAAAACATGTAGCATGTAGTTACTGGGCCTGGTTCCACTACTCACCAAATGTGCAAAGTGAAAATGAATGTTCCGTGAGAAGATCGAAAGATACACTGCCATATTTCTGGTCATCTGTGCAGGTGGTGGTTAGTGGAGCGAGGCCCACTTTTTTTGTTTTTCAATTTAAACATTTCCGGGACGCAAGTCCCACTAGACAAACTTCTTCATTTCTGACCGTCGATCCCACTAGACAAACTTCTTCATTTCTGACCGTCGATCCCACTAGACAAACTTCTTCCTTTCTGATCGTCTATCCCACTAGACAAACTTCTTCCTGACTGTCGATCTCTGCAGCCTACGGTAAGTGGGACTTGGCCACGGACTTGGCCCCACGCCCAGGATAAGAAGAGTTTCTCCTTATGATTTAATTTGTTTGGTTCAATCCTGACCATTTCTGAGCCTAAGACCCCTTATCCGGACAGTCCAGGACGAGGAAAGATGGATCATCCGACTTGCCTTACTTCCAAAGACTGTTTCTCCTCCGCTTGCAGCATTAATGGGCGGAAGGAGGAAGACGGAAAGAGAAGAAAACAGAACGATACCATCCAATGAGAGGGAGGATAATAATGAGGCGTTGGTGATCGTCAATTCAAAATTGCCGAAGGCGAGGATGTGATGACAGAGAGAAGTAAGCAAGATTGTCATCCTGGGAAAACAGAGGGAAAGACGAGGATGATGAGCAGGAAGCATGGTGATGAAGTGGAGGAGATCAGATGACGAGCTTCAGTCGTTTAGGACTGAAAACAAACGATAGCAAGGAGGAGAGGAGGAAGAACAACAAGCGAGGAAAGGACGGGAAGGGGCACAAGAGCGGTGGAGGAGCTGTTCACGTGGGTTTCCTGGTCCCGCATTCTGGTCGACGTGCGAATATGAAAAGGCGGTGGAGTGGTTCTTTCTTTTTCTCCCCCACAACCAAGGGTTGAACGATCAAGGTCTATTACAGTACCAGGATGACAGAAGGGAACATGCAGGAGGGGGAGGAAATAGGACCATCATGACAAGGAGCAGGAGGATGAAGTACGAACCACAAAGTGGAAGATCCAGAAAAAAAAACAAAAACAAAGAACACCAGCTTTTCAAATTCGAGTCATCCGATATTCAAACACGCCCCAACTTATCTAATCCTTTTCCGAGGTCCCCAACAAATTGGATGATCGAGGTTTATTGGTAGGGATGGCAGAAAACGGAAGAGGATTAGCAACGTAGTGAAGTAGTAAACAGGAGTATGGAGTGGGCCAAGGGAAAGGAGGAGGAAAGTGAGAAAGATACGAAGGAGGAGAAAGTAGTATGAGGATGATGATGTGGAGGATGGTGAGTTTTGCCGCTGATGACAATCCGCCGGAAAGAACCGGGAGGGGGGGGGGGAGGAATATATCTATCCACGGTTTTGCAGTTAAGAAAGAAAGAAAAACGGCATTCCTCTATCGCCCCCCCCCCCCCCCCTTCCCCGACTTCCTCTCGGGAAAAACAGAGAATCACCCATGACTCGTGATGACATAACTCTCTCTCTCTCTCTCTCTCTCTCTCTCTCTCTCTCTCTCTCTCTCTCTCACACACACACACACACACACACACACACACACCGCCTCCAGTTCCTCCCTCGTTCCCCCAGTTGCTGCAGGATAAACAACTCTAGGCACGCATCTCCTCTCCCCGTTCTCGTTGTTCGCTAACATCGCTGAGGCGGGCAACATTCCTGTTGTTAATGAGATACATGACTTGGTGTGGCTTCGGTCACAAAAAAAGAAGAACGAAGTAAAGGAAGCAGAAGGCATACGTAGGAGAGAAAAAAAAGAAGGCATAAGTAGACGCATGGGAGTTTAGCCGGAATTGACCCTCGTAGTGCTGGAACTTTTTGCCTAATTTCATTACCTTTTCAGTACCACCTTTGTTCGTGCGCCAGAAAAGTTTTTTCTTGGATGTGTGAGCAGGCAACAGTTCGCCGCAGTTCACTATTGCCAGAGGGGTTGGGGAGGGTTTGGTGGGAAGGGGGGGAGGTGTCGGTGATATGCACAGAAACGGCGGAAGGAGGGGGTCGGGGGATTTCGGTAGGAAGCGGGGAGCATGATGCTGTCGGTTTCCCTAAACTCGAAATGCTTCTGTTTATTATATCTTCATTTGTATATCCAGAACATCTGGATAAGATTGCTGACGCAGCTCCGTGCCGATTTGATCACATTTGATCATCGTGCTCGCGGCAAAGTGCTTGTACTGTTGTACATAAACTGACGAGTTGAAAGATTAACACCCCTCATCTTTCACATCCATCCCCACAACTCTGAAGTTCGTTTGAAAAACAGCACTAATAGAAAGAAGGTGCTCACGGGTGTATACCAGTTGTAAGTGCTTGCTACAGTGTATACGATATCCACCCTTTACGTTTGGTTTGGGCGGATTTTATCCTCAGGTCAGTAGCTCATGGAGGGGAACATTTGCGCTCAAAGTATGCAGGCACGACATGCTAGAATAAAAGCTACGCCGCTAGGAAACCAAGGAAAAAACAAGAAGCGGTGTTTAAGAGGGGGGAGAGAGAAACTAAAACAGCCTGGAGGAACGCAGATATGGGCTAGCTACGCTAAGCCGCGGCTGCATACTCTGCTGCCTCGAATTCGTATGCAGCCATACTGAAAAAGTTCCCTGAAAAACTGCTATGAATTCTTTTGGTACGTGGGCTCTCTCCTGCCGCGCCGAGGGTCACATGAAGAGGAAGGAAATGATCAGGAGTTGGATGAGCACGTCTAGCCTCTGGTGCCTTGTTCAGGTAGTCGCACAGATCATCAACCTTCCCGTGAATAAGGGTGTCATGAGTCCAATCATCAAACCTCGTGGCGTAGTTGGGTACCTCCACGGGACCAGAAAACCGAAGCTCCCTCAAATTATGGGTTACATTCCCTGAGCCCAGGACGAGTACTCCTTCTTCGCGGAGAGCGGAGAGAGCCCGCCCCATCTGGACGTGATGGCGGGGACTTCTATCAGGCTGAATGGACAATTGCACGACTGGGATGTCAGCGTCTGGATACATCAACGAGAGTGGAATCCATGCGCCATGGTCCAATCCTCTCTTCCTGTCGATGCTGGTCCCGAACCCGGCCACAGTCAGGAGCTCAGCTACTCGCTCTGCAAGACGTGGCGAACCAGGCACAGGATACTTCCATTCATACATGTGGGCTGGAAATCCCCAGAAGTCGTGGATGGTTGACATTCGGTCCGCTGCTGTGACACTTGGCGCCGACGTCATCCAATGAGCCGAAACGCACAGAATTGCCTTCGGTCTTGGCAACTCTTTTCCAATATTGCGCAGGAATTGCCTTGCAGGAATGTCCAGCTCTGGGAGCTGCGGCGATCCATGGCCCACAAAAATTGTGCTTCGGAGCATCGCGGGCGCCGACGCTACGTCTGTTGCCATTCCTTGTTTGTACCCTCTCTCTCTCTCTCTCTCTCTCTCTCTCTCTCTCTCTCTCTCTCTCTCTCTCCCCTCGGCGTGTTCGCGTGCGTCTATGTGTCCCTCTCAAGTTCTCTTTTCAGACGCACCGGCGAGCCCAAAGGTCCACGGCATCACTGCTCTGATGGATGCTTTAGCCCTTTGACCGACCAGTCCCTGTCACCGCTGCAATAGCGAGGGTGTTCAGCTGCTTCTACTCTCGACTGAATGCTCCGGTGCACGATAATACATTCTCATTCTCCTTTGCACCTGAACTCTTCTCGGTCCTCGTGCGTATATGCGTTTTCTGCATCCTGCCTCCCCCTGCATCAACCATTTTCTAGCACAGCCCGTTCATGTTGCGGATAGTAACACAGGATCATTGTATATTGCAACATTTATCTGGCACGGCATGTACGTGTCGCATGGGTGGTCCCACGGACTGACGTTGCAGCGGACGAATACTCACGTCAGGGGGTACTCACACCAGCACTATCTTAAATGTATCTGACCTCATTTACGGCCGTATGCATCGGGCCGGCAATTCTGTCCAGAAATAACTAAAATAGTTCTAGTGTGAGTATCCCCTAAGGTATCTGATGATGTCGCAATTCCGCAAATTAGTGCAGGTGCCCGTACTCACACTGGACCAGCCCGACATCAAATGTCTCACCGCCCCCCGACCGTCGGCCGTCTGCGGTAGCAGTTTTACGGCGGCTTACTCCAAAAGCATGCGGCGCACTTAGTGCCACCCAGCGGTGATAGTCCGCTTGATACCTCTGATCGGTATTAGCAGGGTCCTTGGTTAGCTGTGATAGTCCGCTTGATACCTCTGATCGGTATTAGCAGGGTCCTTGGCCATCACAGGTGTGAGTGTGAGTGTGAGTGTGAGTGTGAGTGGGTTGTGTGTGGTGTGGATAGTGTTGGCCTTAGACACTGCTGTTATTCGGTGGGGGGTGATGAAAAGGGAGGCGCAGCTCCTGGCAAAATGCTGTCTTTGCGTTAGCCGGACCGCCACCGGCGGCCCCACCCCATCCTTGACCACCATGGTTGGGGGGCAGGGCCACATGCATCCCCTCTGATGACTGGAGGGAGACAACAAAGCTATGTTCGCAGGAGTCCCCTGTATAAGCCTTAGGAGTAGTGGTAGGTAGGTAGTGAAGGTGAATTGAAAGAATTTGAAAGATGATGAAAGATATGAAAGATTTGAGAGAAGAAAATAGCATGGTCACCGTAGTGTAAAATAATAATAATAATAATAATAACTATACAGAGGACCCATGCAAGCACGGCGACAATGAAGGAGATGGATGTTGCCCCCGGCCCTAACGGCGGTGGTCGGGGAGTAGGGTGGAGCCTCCCGTGGGGGCCCGCCTAACACAAAGACCGAGCATATATATAGTCAAACAGAGCTGCCCGGTAAACCGCAGGCAGAGAGGGAGATGAGGACAACAAACGAGGGGCTGTGACAAACTGTTTTGTGTATAATATATAACCGACAGTCTGTAGAGTTTTCCATCTGGTGTGGGTGAGTGATAGTCTACTTTGATTTTGGTTAAGGTGGATTATCACTTACAGTGTA